TAGTACAAAGACGTGATTAACGGCGCCGAGTAAGAAAGCCCACCCAAGGGAATCGTCTCCTTTAACGTTTCAACGAATACGCACGCGAGATGCGTCAACGACGGTCGTCTTCGTTCACGAAAATCAGCGTCGGGCTCAACGTTCCGGAATAAAAATACGGCTATCCGATAAAAACGTCTTCTACTCGCGTCGCCGTTTCGATGTGGTACGACGAGAAAAACACGGAGACAGCTGCGCGCCGCATTTTTTCCTTCCAGACATACAAAATGCTCGGATTACGCGAGGGACGATCGTGTCGCATGATACGCAGACGATTTGGGGCGAGATTTTCGTGAGTCGTGGCTTTTTTTGCTCTACAACTGCTTTTATCAAGAATGACCTGCCTCTCCTGGGAAATTATACCTAATTTGGGTTGATAAAGAACTTCTAATGAATCAATTATGCACGTTAGTTACATCAACAGTACTTTAACATTGTTTATCGAAGATTGCAAACTCTGTACTTTGAGGTACAACAGAATTCTAATGGTGTTAGATTTATTTATTTACTCAACACCAGATTATATTAAAATACAGAATGTATATTTATAATAAAAGATAATACGAAAAATTATAGTGATATGATGAATCTATCAGCATTCAGAAACTTGCTTTTACCAACGAATATTCTACCCCTAATCACGATTAGAAGAATCATCATTTTAATTTGTAGAAACGTGATCTTATAATCGAATTAGTATACTCGTCCTAATAATTTTTCGACGGTGGAGAGAGGCGACAAACACGCGGAACGAGAACGGTCCGCGTTGAAAATTTATCGCATTGCCTTTGGATTAAGAGAGGCCAGAATTGAGAAACGATCCAAGTTTCGCTTGGCGAGGATCGTTTTAATTGAACGAGGGCGAGGGAATGTGTTCGAGCACGTTGCTTCGTACCCTAACTTCACCTAACGGAACGTCGATAAATTCTCCTACGACTAAATGCAATTATACGTGTTGAAAGGTTTAAATAAAATACGTGTACAATGTATTTTATACTCAAGTATATCTGGCGAGTTTTCAGCCAAACGTAATTCAGAACATGCAAACCTTTACAGAGAAATCAACGAATGACAAACTGAAAATTAATTCAATCACGTAGGAATTTGTGTAATAAAAGATGTTGTATAATAAGAAGACGAGAGGAGAAGCGAGGTCGACTATGCATATATGGCAATTATTATTCAGAAAAATTTGTTTGTGAATTATGGAGAATATTAATCTAAATTTTTTATGAAAAGTTAATTCAATCGTACAGGAATTTGCGTAATTTAAGAAGAGAAGAGACGAAACCAGATACATCTCATAATTAACAATGTACTACGCAATTGTTATTCAGAAAAATTTGTTTGTGAATTATGGAGAAAATTAATCTGAATTTGTTTTATGGAAACTAAATTCAATCATACAGGAATTTGCGTAATGAAAAAGAGAAAAGATGAAACTAGGTACATCTCATAATCAACAATATACTAGGCAATTATAATTTAGAAAAATTTATTTGTGAATTGTGGAAAAAATTAATCTGAATTTGTTTTATGGAAACTAAATTCAATCATACAGGAATTTTCCTAATAAAAGGAGTTGTATAATAAAAAGAGAAGAAACGAGGTAGATCTCCTATAACCGACTATATATTAGGCAATTATTATTCAGGAAAATGGTTTATGAATTATGGAATTTAATTACATAGGTACTGAGTTTTATGGTTATGAAAGGCAGCGTAGGTTAACGCGAGCTATTGCAAGCAATGTTAATTAATCGTTAATAACACGTTCGCGGCAACCATTCCGCGTTTCCTCACTTTTCCAGGAACTGGTAGTTAACATTTTTTCCTCCAACCATCGTGAACGTGATCGCGCACAGTTGATTTCGAAAGTGAGATCGAGTACATTCCTTTCGTAAAGGAATTCGTGAATGAACAGGTTAACGGCTATTTGTCGATGATTGCAAACTTCATTGAAATTTAAGGTATAATAGCACTCAAGATAGATATTTATTTCAGCATTCAAACTCAGAAATGAATTCAGTTTACAATATCTTCCCTAACACACTCGCACGTGCATCTCTCTATATAACAGAATAAATCTTTGCATTTTAACGTATAGCAATATTACTTTAGCAAACTTACCATGCCAGTATTGATTTCCTTCCTCAAAATTTCCGCACCTGGACCTCGCAGTTAACCTCTGACTATCACCTGCTCTTTTTTCAGATATTCTACCTTCCCTGTTACTTTCTTAATAAGGCAAGCCTCAGTGCTAATAAAACTAATAATAATTTATGCTGAATGCAAATGATTGTTATGTTGAACCATTCCTGTAAATAAACTTTAATGTCAATACGAATTTTAAAATTATTTACATTGAAATATCTCCTGAACTAGCTTTTCGACATATCAGTACATTTTCTATAAAGAATTTCTAGTTGCATCGGCTGATGTATAAAAAATATCCCACTCCATTTGAAAAAACAAAGTTGACCTTGAAATCTTCTAAACACCTCGACCTGAAGAATAGTTATATACGCCACGTAATGTGTCCCTCGAAGCCAATCAACTTTTGTCTGAGACATTTATTCCTATCTCAAAAAATGTAGAAGTTATGCAAGAGACTTTCCTCAGACTCATCCTGTATAATATCTACATCTTCTATTCAAATGATTATATTTACTTATTCGTTCGGTGTCAGCGGTGCACAATTTACATTTCAATAATAAAAAAGATTTTGTTATCACTTGAGAATTAATTCAAATCAATAATGGGATTCTGTAAACATTCGATACATGTTCGCTTTATCAACAGCAATTTCATTCGCTAGCAGGAAGGTGAATTTTCGTGAATACTTGTTACAATTGCGTTGTGTTAGATTAGAACGAAAAAAATTCTGGCAGTGGTTCGCCTCGCGGTTTATTTACACCGTAACTGTTAATGCCGACTGCTTCTGTTTCGCGGCGCGTACGAATTATTTCGCGGCGAACAGTTACCGGAATAATTAATGAGAACAACTATGAAAATATGTAGCGCCGCAACGTTGAAATACGAAGCAACGCGAGACAGTCGAGGCTCCCCGTTACCCATTTTCCAACGTTTTCATGAATATCAAATTACAAGGGTTCAGGACAAATTTCAGCGAAATTCATTTGCGTTTCCCCACTCCTCGGTTCGTCATACTGCTGCACACATTTCTGTAGTTTCAAGGAATGTATATTCTGGAAGAAGGTATCCAGCTGAATATATTTTTCTTTCAAAAAACGGAGATGTTAAACAATTGCCATTGTTTAACCGGGCAACCTCAATTATCCTCGAAATGTACACAAAAGAAGCAAGCGTTGTGAACAGTGGCAGGCATCCCCCGAGTCGGACCGACAGGACGGAGAAAGGAAGAACGATTTTGTGGGTGCCGGCGTCAAATTAAAGCGGTTTTTCCGGGCGCGCGGGCGACAGGCACGTAGAGGCTTCCAAGGCCAAGGGAAAAAACGAGGAAAATAACGAAGGAAGGCGGGCGGACGCGGGCAAACGGAATTCGAAACAAGGGCTTTCGACGCGAAGGTAAACGACGTCCCGGCGAGAAAACTGCGACCCATAAACCTAGTTTCCGCCCTTAAAATAATGCGCCGCGACGTCGGGCCCACCCTACTCGCGGCGATCGTCGAAAGGAAGAACTGGAGCGTCTCTAGTGACAGTAATTCGAAGCGACAGGCTTCCAATTAAACCTCTTTAGGGACAGGTCGCGCGACAACCGAGGGAGGAAGTGCGGAACAATGTCGAATTCAAACGCGGATTTACATATCGCTTTATTACGGCCTCGATTGAATTTAAACCCTCTCTTCCTCCCGCCGACGTAGATGTTATTACGCCTACTCGCTCGTTCCCGGAACTAATCGAGTTCCCTTTCGCATTCCCGCATATTCCGATAATTAATCAAAAATTAATAAAATTACTTGGTAAATTAAATTGTGAACATTTTTAATTACAGGCATCATCCATTTTAATCCTCGTTATGTGTCTGATTTATCGAAATGTATAATGTATGATCACTCGCATATTGCGTGGTTCAAAGTGATTAAAAATCGTTTTATACAATTACTTGATCAATTAAATTGTAGAAATTCTTAATTATAAGCTGTATCGAATTTATGGGATTTTTGGTTTGTCTAAATATAAGAATAGATAATTACTCGCATGGTTGCAACTGACTCTGATGCAAACTACATAAAACTATGCTTGCGATATAAAAAAAATACGGAAATTCGTAAACATTGATTATCTATTTTTTTAATATTATTACAGCTTCAATATGAAATTTTTTTATAATATTGTTATTAAAATATATTATTTATTTCACTTCCATAAGAGTGTAATTTCGAAAAATTCAAAAATTGATTTTTAGACATTTATATAAGAAACTTTTATAAACAAGAACCAAGTCGATATCTCGTATTGTATAGAAGAAATAACGATATTCTTAAAAATACAATTTACTCGCTCTCACCATTTTAAGAGTGGAGTTTCGAAAAATTGAGAAATAGTGTTTGTAGCACTTTTATGAGATGAAATTTTTGCACAAAAATGAATTTGATATCATAAAGAATGATTGCAATACAAATAAAATACATTTTACACCATTTTCACCCTCAGAGATCGAATTTCAAAAAATTCGAAAGTTAGTTTTTATTAAAGTGGCATTTTGCTACCACAAACAGTTCAATATGTTATCGAGTTTGAATGATATTAGCAAATAAAAAACACATTTCACTCATTGATAAAATTTCGGAAAATCGTCCCTTAATAACTACCCTCAAGATTTCAAATAAATCCGTACAATAATTTTTATTGAACATTGATGAGCGAGCCAGTTAGAAAGCTCTTTAATGTACATTACATTTATATACATATAAATACTAATACATGTAAGTTACAGGCTATAAATGATAAAATTAACCCTTTTCTTTTCTGTTATAGGTAAGAGTTGAAATGAACGAAACTAGCAATCCGAGTCTAACGTTATTCTTACGCATTCAGGTAAACCAATTTTTTTCTCGTACAGTTTATATCATTTTTCGTACTCTTCACACGTCATACGAGTCAGTTTAGTTAGGCAGAAAAATTTGCCTATTTTTCCTCGTGTTCACGTATATCTTCACACGCTTAACCCGTAGGTCTGTTTCACATTTACGGAAGGAACACTGTACTCATATGGTTGTAAGTTTCATGCACTCGCTAGACAAACTAGGCTGTTGTTCCATGATTGGAATACAGCTAGTCTCATCAATTCGCGCGCGCTTAAAACTAACGAGATTTATCATCTACGAGCGTAACAAATGTCTGCCAGTTCGTCGGATTAATACGTAGCAGAGCTTCGAGTACGGCACACTCCGGCGTCAACCTCGTTCGACGTTTAACGAAGCGACGTGCTCGCCGGCGAGGAACGTTCGTTTGTGGATAATAAACTAACCAAATATTAGCCGTTACGTAACCGCGAACCGCTCGTAGAACTTTGGCCTTAAAAATTTTCCGAACAAACCCGATGAACGATTATGTAAATAACCTGGCGTCGCCCGAAGTGTAATCATCGGCGGGCTTGAGTAACGGTGAAGCCGTTCCCTGTAATCCAACACGTGAATGATTTTACACTTCAATCTATTAGAAGAATTTTATGAATTTTAAGATAAGGGATATGATTATGCAAAATACATCAATCTTCCTTCGTTTTTATTACGTTTATAAAACCTAAATTGAGGTGTATTACAGTCTACATCTACTCTACAATTAATGATTGTATTTCAAACAGGTATGGCAGTCATTTAATAGAGAAGGTTTTTACATTCGGCGAAGAATCTTTTAAGAACGCACAAATACAGTAGCATGGTTAGCAATTATTATGTGTGTCTTTAAGGGTAGGAAGAAATTATTTTGGCTTAAGTTTTTAATGGGTTTGATTCTTTGGAAACGGTAGAAGCAGCACTGCTACGAAATATGATCCAAGTCTTCAGCTTAATAGCTACACTGCCAGCTGGTTACTATGAATTACTGACAATGCCGACACGAGATAGGGAGAATAGCTCAGTTATGGAACATTCACACTACGATTTTTGTCTATATTCCCGACTTTTTAAAAAATTCCGTAGGACCCAACATTTTTAGCAGCTGTAGATCAGAGATGGACCTGCGACCTTCTAATGTTTTCTGTACGACCATATTTATCTTTATACAACATCTATCTATTGTTACTTATTTAATTATTGATATTACACATTGTGTTAATTGAATTGGGAAAAAAATACTATCATAAAGAATTTGTTTAATACAAAAAAGATCCCATCGAAATATGCCAAAATGCTGTTTTTACATTTTGCATTTTTTTAGTCAACACACTCGTTGAATGCTGTCTTACTTTGTAAGTACTTACTGTTGCTAATCAATCACATGTGTTGTGTAAATTAACCAGTTAACTGTGTCGATCATTTTGCAAAGTGCGCCCCAGTGTATGTCGCGATGATCAAGCGATGACGAATATAGTCGTCAAACACAGAGTAAGTGGCGCTGTTGAAATATTGGGTCAAAAAGACGACTTTATTTTAGAAAATGAATGAATTTATTCACGGATATAGCCGTCATAACACAAAATTCTGCCATTCTTCCATGACGGATATAGTCGTCAAACACACTTAACTGGTTAAAATTCATTTAAGGACTCAGATATCTAATATTCATTTTGAAGACCAACTCAAACTGCGTACAACTAAACTGTTGCCTAATATTTATTTATTATCTAATAAAACCATATTTAAAGAGAAATTATTAACCTGTAGTTTTGTATTACAAAATATATTTGTTTCACGATACAGAGCAATTGGTACTAATTTGAACATGAAACATGAAACTTGTAAAATATCACGAGAGTGAAATGGATACAAATTGGTTTGAAAAATGGCTTCGCACGGGGCATGAAAAAAATGTAAAAATCGGGCGAGGTATATAATTACAAGAAATTTCGATAAAAACAGGAGAGGATCGCGATTAATCGCGGCGGTTGTACTCGCAAACGAACAAATTGTCGGAAATGAGTACGCGATACAGGCGTACGATACGATAATTGAAGCACGAGCTTATTAGCCGCGGGTATTCCTACGAAAATGTCTGGTAACGGAACGAAAGGCTCGTTAAGTTAAATTAGCGATGAGCAACGCGCGGCACCCCGTTAAACTAATAAGCGGTGACTGACAGTGTCAAAGTGTCGGCAGAGAGAAATTCATCAGGAACCCCGGATGATTTATATGTCTTCATCGCGAGATCTATTTTTACCTCCCTAGCTCTTACAATTAAACTTGTAGCTCCGCGGTAACGAGACGTAATTCTTATGCCGCGGTGTATGTGGAAACTAGGACGGATTGACTAATACACAACGTATATTCATTCAATTTTCACTTGGTAACACTATAATCCGAGAGCCCACTATGATTTTGTGGTCTAACTATATTATAGTATACAGTATATGTATAGCCCGAGTAAGAAACTTTCGTGCAGTTCTGAGATCCGGAGATGGAACATTAAGTTATTACAATATTGTAAACATGTGAATTTGCATGTTGCTTCTGCTTAATTATATTATGTTTGAAAACAGCTCTATTATCAAGTTTTCATGTTAATATTAATATTAAACGAAGTTTCATGAACTTTTAGTATCAATGTTTCTTGGTCAAGGAAAGACATTTAATTCTTTATTCATTGTATACAGATTTATTGTAAAATATACAATACAAACTTTTCTACTATTCCTTTAGTTAATACAATATAAACTATTCCTTTAGTTCACGTGAAAACATCCACATGTACCAAATACAAGGCGAAATAGAAAAATGTATATATAAAGAAAACTAACAGAGTTGTTTTCAATAGGAGAGTATAATATGAAGGCAAAATTCGGTCTATTGGAAAAAATATCTTTATTCTTACACGTGCCACTAAGAACTCTCAATTTCAACTGCTGATCAAACCGGCAAAACCTTTCCTCTCGCGAGGAGAGGGCCCCATGATGTCATGGGGGACTTCCCATTCGTTCCAACGCCCTCAACGGTGTTACAATTTTTACAATAAATACATAATGTATATTTTCCACAATAGTATAAAATGGAAAACATTAACAAGTATTCTGTTAATTTACGTAACTTGCGTACAGTGTTTTCTTCCATAATAGAGAAAATAATCGACATAAACTTGATACTTGAATTGATAACTTATAAAATTTCTCAACCTAATGTAAACAGATAGTGATTGATTTAAAAAAGAAGAATAGCTCAGTTTAGTAGATTTTGTGTGAACGTTATTTTGACGAATCAGTACGTGTCAGCAGGAATTCGTTAAAGGAATTGTTGGTTGAGGTAAAACTGGAAGACGGTAGCTCTCGCGTGACAATTTATGGTTATCCGCAGCAATTTCCCTTACTCGGTGATCAAACAGCCGCGTAATAAATTTAACCGAGGGCTGTGCCAGGACTTGAAAGCTTGTAAATAGCGAGCGGGAGTCGAAAACACCCGCCTCCGATCCCTTTGACCAGCTACGAGCAGGTTTAACTTTCTAATTAAAATCTGAACTTGCCGCGGAGTTGCAACACGTTGAAAAACTTGGCATCTATAGGCCTCGACCAGCGTTAATACCACCAAAAGGGGGTTAGGCCTCGTTGCTCGTCGTAAATTTCTAATCTTGATCCGAGCGTTATCTCGCAAGCTATTAACGTTAACCGTGGTGTTCGCGAATTTATCGAAACTCCGATAACCGGACGATTTTTCTTCCTAGCGCTCCAACTTTTTCCTCGCGGATGGCTCCCTCCATTTCTTTCCTTGACGAACGAACCTCTGCTCGTTAATTTACAGCCGCTATCGGCCAAGAATTTCCAGTCGCATTCCAGTTTTTATTTGTACTAGTGAAATACAAATCACTCATTTCACTTTTCCGATCGGCCTTAAGGGGTTACATGTATTCTCAGTGAAAAGAAGGGTGAAATAAAACGTTTATTTCCTTAAGAAGTCTTGTTTACTACGTAATGGTTATATGTATCTTGAAATATATACTAGTTTGATGTACACTCCTAGCAATTGAAGGAAAGGAATATATCAAAGATAAAATTCAAAATTTTATTCATTAATAACAATTGCGAGAAATACAGAAGATATTTTTATACTTTTATTAATACCAGCTGGATTAATAGCGTTTGTACGTTTCTATATTTTCTTGTTTAGTATACTATTTCAATTTTTGACTGCTGATAGACTTTTTAGAGAGTCGTGAATAAAAGCGTTTAAGAAGAACGAGATTATTTTAGCACTTGCTTAGCAGGCGAAGGTGGCAGACTTTACACAGGTACTAACTCTAAACGATGCTTTTAGACAGGATGACGTTATCGGTCATGCTCAAAAGAGAATGTACAGACGGACCGATAAAATTCGTGAGTAAATAGAAAATTGTACGTGGCCTTTTTAGTACATTCTCTCGAACAATTAAAAGAAACTTGAAAACATGAGTGAATTAACATAATACTGAATTGAATAATTACATAATGCTCTATATCCGCAATTTTCATTTGACGATCTTGAAATTATTTTATACATGATTGATGTGATTTTGAAATTATTTTGCACGTGACGGCTACGGTTTTATATGCAATTGTAATAGACAATTCGCATATAAAAACGTATTGCACATATGTATATAATTTCCAACCACGTGAAACAATTGACGGAAATCTCATATCGTGGAATTATAAAAATGGAAGGTCTGTATAAAAATCCGCAGTCAACATATGATTGACATAATTTTAAAATCAGACATTAATATTTTCAAATCTTCAGTTATGTGCCTTGAATTGCTAATTTAACAGGCATTCGAATATTTAAATATTCCATTTTGGTTTTCTGGTTTACATCCAGCTTATCTCAAACGATATAATACAATTAGATCTATAATAAGTTGTCTAACTCGTTGACGTTCCTATGTGCCCTGTCGCGGATTCTTGAGACTGTTTT